CTTTGTTTCCAATTTAGCGATAACATCCCTAACAATTTAACTGAAATTTAAAGTAAATCATTCCAACTTGAACTACTTTTTTTTTTTTTTTTTTTTTTTTTTTTTTTTTTTTTTTTTTTTTTTTTTTTGTTTAAACGGAAGTGAAAATCTGCTTTCTCCCGCACTGGATAGAGGGGGAACCAGATCCGTGGATCCAGTGCCCCCAGATCCGGCGGGCCCCGAGGGGGGGGTTCCATCCCCGCCCACGAGTACCAGATGCCAATCGCGGCCCAGACCGAGTGGAACGTCCCGAGCATTGCTGCCCGAGACCTCGGCCCGAGAGTGTGACTGGGTATGTGGGTTTGGCCCATGACGGTGGGCCCGCCAAACACTAACGACACTCCCCTTGAGATGCATCCGCACTACGCATCCCCTTTTGTCCGAGTTTGCTTCCCACCCGACGGTCAACCTACGGTCATTACCTCGTCAGGCGAGAGGGCCCCCCGCAACAGTGTCCAGCCGAACTCCCAGTCCCATAGGAGCACCCCGATGCCTCCGGAGTACCTAACCCCCACCAGCAGATCCAAGCCACCCAGACCTGAACCCGCCGGCAGCTCTGGGAAAGGGAGTCCGTACCCCGGGGGGTCCGTCAGCACTGGAGCCTCTGAAGCGGAAAGGTTACCTCCCGAGGATGCGTGGGGGATTCCAGGTGGCTCCCGGCCAGGACTCCGAAGAGTCCTGTGTTACGCCGGCGCTCCAAGTCCTACCCACTACACCCATGGGACCCAGACTTCGCAGCGCCCCTCGCTACAAGTAGTGAGGGGTGCGGCCGGCCGACCCCATCCGAAGCACTAGTCAAAATGACTTGCTCCTCCGGTCCGGCCCGCTTTCAGCCCCCGCCGACCACCAGGGCCGGATTCGCGGACTCAAGGTCCGCATTCCGGGATCCTGGGGGGCGCGGGAATCACGATGCCGGACACGTCAACGATTCCGCTTGATCTGTACGCCGTGGATCAGACAGGATATGGGCTAACAACCGAGGACGCAGGCACAGAGGAGCGGCAACATCAGGGGAAGCCAAAAGGAAGGTATCCCCCGTCGCGAACAACAACAACCCGCCGCAACTGTTGAGGGCCACGAAGGGGGAGGAAGGGGTCGGGGTTCACTAGCGAACAACCCCCGACCAACTCGGGTGCGCGGGTGCGTCAGACCCGAATCCAAGGGAGGATCCCTGCGCCGCGAAGGCCCCACTGGTGAAAAGACCGAAACCGAAAAAAATAAACGCACCGAAATAAAGACTGAACTAAAAAATCAAGAAAAAATTAGCCAGCGGGACCCAGAACTTGAACTACTAGCTCAGGAAAATTATGAATAATTTGTTGTATCATATATTTTTGACTGACCAATAACAATTAGTCAGTAATCTAAGTTCCGTGGGCTGATTAAGAAATGTCAAGCTAGAGTGAATAAGGATTCATATATGGCTGTTTATATTGGGATAAGCTGCTTTCAGGCAAATTTTTGGAGGTTTGTTTTTTCTGAATTAAATTTTTTGGCAAACCCTGGTCTACCTGAAATTTGGGGTCTGCCGCTATAATAAATAAATGGACTACATTTTGCAATTAGGAACTATAAATTCTAGCTGAGTGTAAAAAGAGCGTATGAACCATTTGTTTCCTTATGCACATTCGTCTTTTTTCGGATGAGCCAGAATTTATAGTTCCTAATTGCAAAATAAAGTCCAAATTACAGTCGCGATAGTCTCGACTTATCAAAACTTTTAAAACTTTGCTGATGGACTTGCTGGAGTTCCCTATTGAAACGGTATGATGTTGAAGAATTAAAATATTGAGCGCATAAAAAGGAGACAAAATTCGCAGAACTCAGCACAAATCTTTGTCTCCTTTGAAAAGGCGACAATGCTCATGATTATTACCACCTCAACGTGACAGAAAAGGTTGGTCTCAGTGAGCCGGGGAGCTAAGCGTCATAAAAGCAAATTAATATTTATGGTCTTTTGAAACTGTCACCATAAGAAAGAGATTATAACATCATAATCCCGAGGGGTAGAAAATGAGCAGGGGGCGTGGAGATATGAATGGCAAAAACAGTCAACAATGCGCCCTTCGTTGTCGTTGTGAAGTTGTCTCTGTCCTACGGACCCCGTAGTTTCTTCACCTCCCGTTCTCACTCTTGACTGAGGGTAGAAGTTTATTCAAGCACGATTCTGTTTACCTCCATCGGCGAACTGGGTTTGATTTATTCATTGCTCCCCTGTCTATCCATAGATACTATCAAGGGAAGTTTGGGGTACATGCCCTTTGAGGCCCCCTCCGTGGTGAGAAAGATTTTATGGAGCCTCCATCAGATATTTTTTCTTGAATTCTAGTATCATTCGCAAAAAAATTAAAGGCCATGATTTAATTGTCCTTACCTATAGGTATCTAGAAAAACTTTTTAACTTAAAAAAATTATTTCATCATAAACACAGTTTTTAAGGGGAATACAATTTTATTTAATTCGTAAAAAAAAATTGATTCATAAAAAAAAATTAATGCACAAAAAAAATTATAATATCATTCTTTTTCCATCATAGGTATATATTTTATCCATTAACACTAACAAACGGTTTAATTTTCGGTTACCTAAGTGAGCCTTTTAAATGCGCATGCTGAGATTTTAATAGAAGAAGCCATTGGAACCTTTATTGTGAAAGAAAATGGGAACGAAGAGTATTAAAATCCCTGAGCATATCGTGGTTATAATCGCGGTATCGTGGTATATCATGGGGAGCATGGTGTATCGTGGTATTATGGCTAGTTGGAAAACAGAGAGTGAGTATAGTTTTCCAAACGCTTTTTACGTATATTTGCTCCTCAGATAAATATTTCAACCCAAGAATGCAGTATTTTTTTACTACATTTCCGCATCTACCTCCTTTACAAGGGTTTAGAATGAAATGAATATCCCAATGACCCACGAGCTAAATTATAAAAATTGAACATCGTTCATAAGCTATGGGAGTAATTCATTAAAATTATTTTTACCGGTATGCTCCATCCATAACAGTTTAAAAAAAAAAGGATCACGCACTCAGTCACCCTCAACGAATGATCAGCTTATAATCTTAATAAAATCGTATCATTAAATCAGAGTGCGTATGTATTATATGTTAAAGCTAAAAAATAAAGCTCTGATGGTGGACAGTTTCTTCGAATCAACCCGACCCTCTTTTCGAGGAAAGACTATTATTTATATCGGCTTATTAGAGCAAAGATTCGCGATAAAATACGGGCTTATAATCGACAGCCGACAGGCCTGCCACTCGTGAGAGTGTGATCCTTTTTAACCCCCTTTTCCTCACCCCCCCCCCCTTATAAAGCATCGCGCCTATCTTCATTATTCTCCCAATATTGTTAGGATATACGCTCTTTCTTTTTTATTCCTCGGACTTCATTTTTTTTTTTAGCGTGCCAGTATTGTTTTCCTTCTATTTCCCGTAAACAGCGTCAATAAAAACGTTAATATCTTAGCCGTAGGAGTTGATTTCAGTGATATTCATTGCGCGAATCGTGATCTACGTGAAATTTTGGCAAAGAATCATGAATCGGAGTACTTAAATATACCTTTTTTAATGGTCCATTTAATCTAAAAAAGCGAACACAGAGGAGTTTCCAAACTTTTCTCAGAAAAAATATTTTATCGGGAGAAACGAGGCAACGTTGGAATGCTCATACGGCGTCGAAACACAATATGGGCCTTTTAAGCCCCATTATTCGATGCCGCGAGTATTGTGACAAGAGTTCGAATGAGCGCGCCAAACACAGTGCAGCCGGCGTTGAACGCATCGCCTGCAAGACTGCATGAATACTTCTCGCATTCCGCCCAACACAGAGCGGTCGGTCAGTTGACCTGAGCCGCATGTTAGCCCCTACAAGACTGTATGAATACTTCAAGCATTGCGCGCACAGCACGATGCGCGCTTTGATGGTTGTAATTTCTCGGTGTTTCTCGGTCGGACACAATGTCCAACCAGTGTGCAACGCAAGCCTGCAATCGCGAAGCTACAAAGCTTCTAGACCTTCTTGGAGCAAAAAAGGTGCACTGAGAAACATTTTCCAGTTATAATTCTCTGACGAGAATCCTTGTTTAGTCAATCGAAAATCTCTTCGAAATGACAAGACATCTCTTTGACTTGACAGAGATACCGTTAAAAACAGGGAGATTTTTTGTTGATTCAACGAGAGACCTCGTCCAGAAATCACTTAATTGATGGAATTTCTGATATTGAACATACAATTCCTCTCCGTGCGCCGTTTTTGAACGAGCTCTTTCCCTAAATCAACGCAGAGGGAATTTCTCATTCAAAGATTTTTATAAGTCAATTTCCTAGGGATACGCAGAGGCACACGTAATCCTATCCTATCCTAATCCTTATCCTAAATCCTAATCATTATCCTATATGAGCATTTCTTTGTTCACGGGGACTTCAAATCAAAATCTACTTATACAGGCACCTTCAACAGCAAAAACCATACACACAAATTACTCGCACTTTGAAGAGCCTTTGAGAACTTTCCTGTTTGACTTTGCCAGACAATTTTGATTCCTAGGCACCTAATATCACCTGCTTACAGCCCTACACGATGGCAAAAAAGTTACTTCTATATCGATCTACACGGCAAAAAAATAGGATAGTCGTCACAACCGGCGGCAGGTTGTGACGAACATCCTATTTCTCTCTGTGACGAGGCGTAAATGATCGATTATAGATTATCCTCATTTGAACCTACGGTAAAGAATCGATTATTAAGGTTTTCAGCGCAGACATCCTGCTTGTCGATCCTTTTCCATAGGATTAAATGGCAGATCAATCGAAATAATGTAAAGCACGCCACGCCACTGATTTTTTCCGTGTATCGATTGTATGGTCTGTTCCTGAATTACTTCCACGAATCCGTTCATTTTTATTACTAAATTTTAGTGCACTCGTATCTTTAGCAAAACTCTTTATTTTGCAGGTATCCAAGGATGAATCCACCCGGTTTGGATGATGTGGCGCCCAAGGACCCGAAAGCCGCTCAGCAAACGCGCCAGGAATTCACCGAGCAAGATTTTGAGGGTAAGCTTTCTTGCCACGCTATTCACACTATGAATTCTCTTTAATTTCAGTCCAAAGTTTCTTCTCATTAACGAGACAGCGCAGAACACAATAGCTACCTCACCTTACAACCTCACCTAAAAAACTAATCGACGGTGAAATATTGCAAAAATGCGTATCTCAGTTGCAGCGTTTCAAGATCTTCACTCGTACTTTATTTTTTAAACAGATTGTATTATGGCTTGAAATTTTCATAGAACAATCATCGCACATAGAGTAAAAATAATCGGAGTTTTCAAGGAATGACGTTTGGTAGTTTTCCACGTAAAAAATAAAATATGACAGGAAGTCTGCGACGCCGTCAACCGAAATGCGCAGTTCTGCATGATGAAATTGCACGCACGTATGTTGGTAAAAGTTTAGTAAGGGTAGTTAGTGCATGTGGGTAAAATTTGATAAATGTGACAGAAATACAGAAAAATCACCAGAAATCGGCAAAATTGCCCATAGTTGTTAACCACTGAGCATGTTTTGTAATTTCACAGTATTTCCGAAGATTTTATCATCAATTGGGCGAACTTAAATCAAAAGGAGCTATATTCATTGTGACTTGAGCCCTGTCACACGTGTATTTTATGGACCTTAGGGCTCATATCAGAATGGATATAGTTCCTTTTCATTTAAATACGTCCAATTTACTGTCATGCACGGTTATATCACTGATGCAAGAAAACAGATACAGGTTTTCAGCGAGCCGATTATTGAAATTGATAGACAAAGCTGTAGACAATAAGGACATACGGAGCGATCCTATCGGTTGAAATTCGTGGGTCTTATAGATTAAGGGGGTAAAAGATGGACTAACTATAGGGTCTCTCGTGAGTTGCCGTTAGTTAGTCTACCTACCTCCTTTGTCCATTACAACCACCCACTTCCACCAATGAGATCTCTCCATATTCTTTTTATCTTCTTTGTCTATCAATTCCAAGAGTCAACCGGCAGGAAACAGCAAAATTACCCAACATCCCCCAGCATTCCCGTTGATGGGAAACAATTCCGGTAATTTTTCAGTAATTTTGGTGATTTTACCGATCCCTTTTCCTCCCTATCCTAGAACACGCCCTTTTTGGGGGAAATGCCGGCTTTCGCCACGCCCGCCACGGCATTGGCAACGGGGTCGAAATAGTGAGTGGAATGGAAAGAAGCCCCACACGTACTAGTGCAGGAGTCATAATCGATACACTTTACACGGAATTGGAATGTGATGCGATGCGCCGAGGCTTTGGTGCCCCACCGCGCCCCTGTTTCGCCCCCGTCCCCACCCCCACCCTTGCCCTCGCCCCTCGCCTTCCGCCCTTGTCCCGTGCCGGCGAGCCATGCTGCCGTGACAAGGAAAAACGCCGTATGAACATTCGAAAGTTGCCAAATTTCCTTCGATAAAATGTTCATTTTTTAAGGAAATTATGAATATTTTCTCTTTAAATTTTCAGGACTTTTTAGTGGAATTGCGGGCAAAATTTTCTGAAAAATTGGAAGAAAAATATCCAAACGTTTATCAGGAAATTCGTGTTTTATCCAAGGAAATTTGGCAACGCCTGAAGGTTCATACGGCGTTTTTACTTAGCAGGGCAGCATGCTTGTCCTCTCACCCCTAGCCCGAGAGAGGGCTCATTCTCAATCTGCCTCTTCCGCCCTATGTTCCCGAGTTCCCGAAGCCGAAGTACTGAGATCTCAATTACGACACTTGCATTTTTATCGCTTTATTCCGACCAGGCATGACAACCTGCATACTGAATGTGGTGGAGTCAGGCAAAATGCGCCTTTGCGTGGGAGCTCGAAAGCGGGAAAACTCGTTTCGAGTCCAAAATATCGATTTCCAATTTTCCATGCTAAACGCTTTCTAATGACCTCGAGATATTGGATCAGAGCGGAGCTTTTGCATACGGTGGGGACTTGCGATTGAAGTACGTTTTTTATCGAGGGTTGAGAAACAATACCGCCTATCTCAACATTTTGGCGATAGCGAGTTAGCTACTTTACTGCATTCTACAGTATAAAATAAGCAAGTTGATGGTTTAGTTTCTTCAAATTTCGCATGGGAGCACTGTAATGACGCTGTCATGTGAAAAAAATTGCAAATCTAACCTCAAAATTGAGGACACCGCAACAAGAACAGCCTATAGGCGTATAGGTCGTTATTACGCCCATCTGCTTTTCGGATTCTACGTACCCTGGACTAAGCTGTGGTAGCGATAGAATATAGATAGGTAACGGCTCGAGGTCGAAAAACCTTTTTTTTCCGAGTTAAGTCAGGCCTCTGGATCGATGGGAGCAAGAGCGACCTATAAACAGGCCTATAAAGTGCTAGTTACCCCTTCCTTTACTCACTATCGATATTCTTTCATTTTGCGTTAATCATAAGTGATTAAGATGATTCATACTTCATATTGCCACCAAAATGACTTTTGGGCATAATAATGGCCTATAAACCGCTTTTTTAAATTAAATATATGAGAGTACAAACTCAAAATGTATCGCAAAATCTACCCGGCATCCATCAATAGAAGGGTTAGGTCACCCAAAAACACCAAAACAGGGCACCTGCATAGAAAAGTCTGCGCAGTACATCAAAAACAAAACTTTAAATGCGTTTTTCTCAAAACGCGGTTTCCAGTTATAGGCTGTTCTTGGTGCGGTGTCTTCAATTACCAAAATGTCAATGTTTTCTCTTTGTCCTGCAAAATTGTCAGTTTGCAAATGGGCGGTATATTGTTCCTTGGCCAACATTATGTGAAATTTTATGTGGTGTACCGCACTAGTATTCCCTGAAACGGGATCCGAAGTTCGAAATAAGCTCTAGAAGTTAAGGCTGTAATGAGGGCTCCAAGTGATACTGAAACTCCCGCCTCTCACTAGAGGACAATCATATCGATTCTCAGTATTTTATGTTAAACGCTTTCTAATGCTCTCAAAAGCAGTGGGTTAAAATATCATAGCACGATTTGCTTCAATAATGTTATGAGCGTTTGAAATGAATTATCTGTGAAAATTGACAATAGTGCGGGCAAATTTTAACTGCATATTTGCAGCAAATTTACTATGTATCGCTCTCTAACTTGAAATTCTCTAAAAAGTTCAATTTTTCCCCGTAAATTCTCAAAAATTGAACTTTTTAGAGCATTTCAAGTTAGAGAGCGATACATAGTAAATTTGATGTAAATGCAGTTAAACTTCAAAAAAAAAAAAAAAAAAAAAAAATTACTCAAAATTATTGGTGAAAAATAAAAATTTCGTCAATTAAGCACGAGATGCTTAAGTTTTTGCAACTCATTCCATTGAATATCGGAGAGACTTTCCATAGAAAACTCATAAATCTGACTTTCGACTCAACTTGACCAAATTTCTTTCCTCTGTTGACAAAGGTGACAAGGATCACAAATCTCGCGAAGGACCCCAAAACTCAAAGAGAGATCTAAAAAAGGGGTTGGACAAAGTTCTTTTTGAATCAATGGACCGTGGATTTTAAATGACACCCCACCCTCTCAGAGGATTCAAAAAAGGCGTTGAGATCCCCCCATGACGCAATTATAAATCTACTACCCTTGCCTGAATCCCATGCCAGCTTGTACGTGCCAGCCATGACCCGATTTTACCCATTATTTTTTTAAACCATGACCCCCGTGATACCTGGCGCAAGAACAAAGGGAATGAAAAAGCGAGAGGAAATTTCGCTCGGTTCTCAAATCGCTCGGTAAACCATAATTTCCTATGCACCTGCTTGAATGAAAAAACTACAATCGAATTACATTGCGAACGGATTGTATATCAATGGGGCGTGGAAAACGCCCAGGAACGTATGCAACGTGACGATCAATCTCAATTTGCTTGGGTAAATCTGCTTATAAATTCTGAGTCCGACCCGTCGAAGGATTCACCCGTCCGGTCGTATATCAATTTCAAGTCCCTATCTGCTCGACTGAAATATGTAACAATTTTCATTGTTGCCGAGTAGTCGAGTTTTGTTTCCATAATTTCATATTGTCATACGCGGAGGGGGGTCTAAAACGGAGCACGAGGGGTTCAAACATTCCTTCAAAATCTCACTGGCTTCCTCTCCCCATTCCTCAATGGCGATTCCTGCAAGTTGGCAACACTGTATTTTCTCATTTTAAATGTATGTGAAACAATCGATTCTTGGTGAGGCAGCTTGCCTCACCTAAGATCGATATTTTCAATGAATTTAAATGGAGGAGAAACAGTGTTGCCAACTTGCAAAACTGCCCTCCTTCCTCTATCTTTCAATCTTTCTCTCTCCCTGTTCTTCATCAAACTGCGATTGATAAATCGCCGCTAATTTTACTTTTCTTAAAACTTTATTGCGAATTTTCTCCACTCCTTCAAGAGATTTCCTCGTTTAAAAAATTTCAAGGATATGTTCGTAGTTGTGAGTCAAAGAAACATAATTAACAAATTTGGAGAAATCAAGTTATTTGCATCCACAGCATATACCTATTGTTAGTAAGGGAAAAAAAATATAACCTAATAAAAAAAAAATCTAATCCTAATCCTAAATCCTATCTGTCCTAATCCTATCCTGATTCTAATCCTATCTGTGTAAAAAAAATGGTTATAATATCAGAATAGATGTTACAATAAAACCATAATGGACCACTAGACAAGGTACGAATTTAAGCATTCCGATACATGTTTCTTGACCCAAATTTCAAGGAGAACAAGATTCGCGCAACGAAAATTACTGAAACCGACTCCTAAGTAAGATATTAACGTTTTCATTTCACATTGGTCACGAGGAATTAGAACTGCCCGCTGACAAGAAACTCAAAGGTCTACGTGAGTCAAATCGCGCACTACAACGGTTTCAACAAGCTTCTCAATCGAGTAATGTTCATTTTCCACCATGTGTTGTTCAAACTGTAAGCAATTTGCTATAGCTGAGCCAAAGTGTCAAGATTGAGGTTGCCAGATTTGTATATCGTAAAGACTGTCATGATAACGTTTGG